CAGTTAGATGAGTGCTGTCTCTCTGCCTTTCAAATAAATTAATTAAATAAATAAGTTTTTTTTTTTAATTTAGCACTAGCCTCACTATTTGTGTGTGTGTAAATTATATATGCAATCCAATGAAACATGGGTGAGTGTTGTGGTACAGTGGGCTAAGCCACCACTTGGGACCCCCATATCCCACATCAGAGTGCCTGGTTCAAGTTCCGGCCACTCTGCTTCCATTCCAGCTTCCTGCTAATGCATATTGAGAATTAGCATATCGTGGCCTAATGCTGGATTGCTACTACCCTTCTGGGAGTCTTGGATAAAGTTCTAGGCTCCTTGCCTTGTCCCAGCTATTAGGGACATCTGGGGAGTGAACCAGCCGATGGAAGCTCTCTTTCTCTGTCTCTCTGTGCCTTTCAAATAAAATCTTAACAATAACTATCATGTAGTTAAATACAAAAATTTAAAAATTGAAAGAATGAACTTATCAATGAATAGGATTAGGGAGTCTCATATGTTCTTCAGAGTCTCAAGGGATGACCCGAAACTGTTCCCCGCTTTGGAGACCTTGTACAGAAGCGCACAAAGTTCCCAGCCTCACCTGCCTTCCTCCACCTCTTCCTGAGGTCCTGTGCTTGGTACTGGAGAAACAGAAGGAGCAAGGGGTGATTCTTTGTTCAGAGCGTGTGGGGCTGGGACAAGACGGGTGAGCAGGCCTTGAAGGCGCTCGTCCAGGGAAGCCGCCTCTGCCAGCCTATAGTGAGTGCCCCGAGACTTTTCCATGATTGAGTGAATGGCTCCAGTCCTGTCCTTGGAGGCCAGGGGACCCTGGTGACTCAGAAGATGCAGCCTGAAGGAGGCAGGATTAGCCGGACGAAGAGAAAGTCTGGGCCTGGCTCTCCCTTCCCCCACCTGCAGCTTCAGGCTGTCAGTGGCCGTTGCATAAATTGAGTGAGTTGTAGCCGGCATCTTTTTTTATTTTTATGAAATAAGAGAAAAATCCCAGCATGTATTGTGTCTGGTAAGAGTAGGCTGTTTGGGTATGCTTTAAGGGTAAGTATTGTGTGGTGAAACTTTTGTTCCTGTTAGAAAGGCGTGTGTGTCTATTTATAGAAACATCTGAGTACTGGGCTGTGGTGGTCGGAAGAGTTTGTAAACTGCTGGACTGGGCCTTGGCCCTCTCTAAACAGATGCTTTGTGCTTGACACGGGGCCAGCAGGTTTAGACAGCTCTGGTGACACTCGGTGACTGCAGCTCCAAGGCACTTGAGTTCCAGGCTGCAGCTACTGACTCTCCGAAAAGGATGACCGAGAGTAGACCTAGGGGATGGAGAAAGCAAAGTTGTGTCTACCAGTTGTGGACGCTGGGGTCAGGCCTGACGTGGGAGAGCTGCTTCCAAAGGGCCTGGCCTCCGAGATGCCAGGTGCCCAGGTCTCCATGGAGCCTGGCAGGGATGAGGATTGGTGGTTGGCGTTCAGGCAGGGTGGGCAATGCTTGGCAGAGTCAGCTAGGCCCTGTCCTCCATAGGATCCGTCATCTGCTTCTCAGCTCTTGCTTGAGTTTTGTCATCCCCATGGGAGTCCATGGACCAGTGTGTGGCTCCCTGTCACTCACCCTTCCCGTTCCTGTAGGACCCCTGTGGCCAGGTTCAAATGGGCCTGTGGCTGGCTGGCTGGGAGCTGTTTATTTTGGGTTAACGGGCCCAGCACTGGGGCTATATTTACCTTGCGAAGCTGCGTGCAATCTGATCTGGTCTGATCTCTCTGGGACTCTGCTGGGCCCTGGGAGGCAGCTGCCAGTTTCTGCGAGGCCCCCCCTGACTCTCCTCTCCCCACCCATAGGGACGTTTCCCAAGTGGGAAGCCTTCTGGAAAAGGCCGTGGCTTTTGTGCCTCTGAACAGTTTTTATCGGGATCCGTGATTTGTGCCGACCGTTCCCTTTCATTCTGAATCAGTTTTTTACGCTGCCCGGTGGCCTTGAACTTGGTCCCAAATGTGGCACATGAGCCAGCCTGTGCAGCTGAAGTTACAGGAACATTTGGATCCAGAAAGGGCGATGGGGGCTTTCTCTGGAGTGGCGGCAGGCCCTTTCCTCTTCCTCTGGCCTGGCAGCGCCCCACCCCGGGCCCTCGGGGAGGGCTGGGCAACTTCGATGTCCCCAGGACGGGTGTGTTTCAACAGCTGCGTTTTCTGACCCCAGAGCTTGTGGGTGTGACAAATGGTGTGCCGCAGGATGGGCTCTGTCCTGCAGAGGTGGTCAGCTGCCCAGGTGCGGTTTTGGGTACACATTCCTCTTGTCGGGGTTTGGAGCCAGGGCAGATGAGGCCCGGGCGGTGTGTGTTGGAACATGGTTTGTGGGGTCAGCCCCTTCCAGCCTGAGCTAAGGGCGCCCAGGGGCTATTTTTCTCTTCCATTTCAAGCTCTGTGTTTTTTAACTAAGATTTATGAGGCCTCTTCCCGTGCCCAGCCTTATGCAAAAAATTGACCCGTGAAATCCTCGTTTAGTCTCTCCATGACCTTGTGAGGGGAAGTGCTCTGTGACCCTCCTGGCTTAGAGCCCTTGCGTTTGAATCCCGCACCCCCCATGGGGCAGCCGACACCCCCGTCTGGGCCTTGGACTGCTGGTTTGTAAAGGAAGGAGACCGATACTACTGCCGACTGTTGACACTTTGCAGTTCTTGCATGCAGGTCTGGTTCTAAGGCTTCATATACATTAACCTGTTAGAACTTCACAACAACCCTAAGAAGTAGGCCCCTGGTGCATAGATGCAGAAATGGAGGCACAGAGAGGTTGAACTTCTTGTCCCAGGTCACCAGCTTTGTAGGTGGTGGAGCCAGGTCACACCCAGCTGTGTGGTTGGGGATTTGGTTTCCAAAATAAGCCACCCAGGGCTGGTTGGGATGCAGGGAAGGCTTCAGATAGGGGCCTGGGGTGTTGTTACTTGTGTTCAGCTCCCTCCCACGTACACCCCTAGCACCCAGCTCAGGGCCTCACCCACCCAACAGGGCCGGCCATTTCCTGAGATTAGAGAACTAGCCTGTGAACTGGATAGCCGAGCATGGCCTCTCCTTTCTCAGATTTCAGGTTCCGGGGCAGCAGGTCAAAACAGGAAGAGGAAGTGCCAGGTGTGGGGAGGAGACGGGAGGCATTGGCTGTGGGGCAGCAGGCATGGGGGCAGAGACCAGGGAGCCCTGGGCTGTGGCCCTTGACCTGCAGTGCCCTGGTGGCCTGCACCCTGCCGCTGCCCCTCACCCGTATGTACTAGGAGTTCCTCAGGCTGGCCTTCAGCCACCAGTGATGTTGTTGAAACCCTCATGGCACTGCCCCAAATTTGTATGAGCTTGAGCTGTTTTGTAAACTCCAGGGCTGAGAAGAACAATAATCTCGTCTGCTGTGGGAATTTTTAGGCAAAATTCTGTGAATCCCATTGGAATGGCCTGAAGAGTCCTGAGAATGCATATGCCTGGATGTCCTTGTGTGAGGAGAGTGTCTGCTGTTTGCAGCAGATTCTCAAAGGTATTTGACCCTAAGTCAGTACCAGACTGTGACCTTGATCTCGCCACTTCCCCTCTTCACAGAGAGAGGCGAGGTCTTGGCCAAAGGCACTCCGTGAAGCCTGAGGTGGTTCCCAAGCCAGAACACACATCTGCCAGTTTGGCCCTGGTTCTCTGCCACCGCCCAGGAGGATTTCATGAAGATGAGGTTTCTAAACTGAATAACAAGGAAGCTTGTTTGTACTGAGGGCTTGCCATGTGCCGGGCACTAAGTATTTTATGTGCATTAGCGTATTTAGTCCTCACAGCCATCCTCCGAGCATGTGCTGTTATTTCCATTTTACAGATGTGGCGAGTGAGGCACGGAAAGATGAACCTGCCAGAGTTACACAGCCTGATACAGGGCAGAGTTAGTCATCGTTTGAAGCCGGCAGCCTGGTGGAAGGGGAGCTGGGGGTGGGGAAGGAAGGAGCTCACCTCCTTCTCGGGAAGTTCCCTACCTGGTAGGAGGGGTGTGAGACTGATGGACAGCTTTGGCATTAGCCATCCAGTCTGCGGTCACCTTATAAAGAGTCACTATCCTTGGTGATATTGTTGACATTGGTGCCTCCTGTGCTGCCCCCCAGCCCATGCGGGCAGACCCTGGCAGCTTGCCCGCTGCCCGCTGTTCCCGGCCCAGATCTGATGAGCTTGCTCCTTTGCATGGGGGTGATTCGCAAGGCCCAGGGGAGAAAAGCGGGTGGCAGACCCAGAGCATGCCCCTGGTGACCCCTGAGTTGCAGGTTTCCAGGAACTGGGGAGCAGCCAGTGCATCAGTCTCGGGGCTAGAGAGGAGACAGCCTGGGGCTGTTGGCCACCCTGCCCACACCAGGGCTGAGCCCAGCTCTTCTGGGAAGCCTCCTCGGGTTCCTTGTTGGTCTGTGCGTGGTGTTCTCAGAAGGGGCCCAGGCATGACCTGGGCCTTCACCTGTCCAGCCCCTCCCTCGCTCCTTGTTCCGGTGCAGGACAGGAAGACGTCTCTGCTTGAGTGAAGGAGGAGCCGGCAGGTGTTTGGTGGCTGCTCTTGCTTTGTTTTGTTTTCTCAATGTATTTAATTTACCATTTTAACCATTTATAGTGGCAAACATTACCATTTGGGAGGTGGTTACTGTATACCAGGAATGCTCATTTCATTGTTAAAATAATTCAGTGAGTTAGTGTATCCCTATTTATAAGAATATTGAGGCTGAGAGAGGTGAGGTACCTTTCCCAAGGACACACAGCTCCTGAGGGGCAGAGCTAGGATTCTAGTTCAGGTGCCCTGGGCTCCAAGCCTGCTCTGTTCGTCGGCTTTTTCTCCCACTTCCCAGCCCCACGAGGGTGACCCTTATTATCCCATCATGCACCTGTATGAACTGAGGCTCAGAGAGGCCGGATGATTGGCCCGGGGCCCCAGAACTGGGGAAAAGAGAGCCCTTTCTGGGCGGCTCTGTGAGCTGGGACCGTCCTGACACTCATCCTGCCTGTCCCCTCTCCCAGGTGGCCATGGTGGAGGTGCAGCTGGACGCTGAGCACGACTACCCACCAGGGCTGCTCATCGCCTTCAGCGCCTGCACCACGGTGCTGGTGGCCGTGCACCTGTTTGCACTCATGATCAGCACCTGTATCCTGCCCAACATCGAGGCCGTGAGCAACGTCCACAACCTCAACTCCGTCAAGGAGTCGCCCCACGAGCGCATGCATCGCCACATCGAGCTGGCCTGGGCCTTCTCCACCGTCATCGGCACGCTGCTTTTCCTGGCCGAGGTCGTGCTGCTCTGCTGGGTCAAGTTCTTGCCCCTCAAGAAGCAGCCGGGGCAGCCACGCCCTACCAGCAAGCCCCCGGCTGGTGGTGCGGCCTCCAACAACAGCAGCGAGAGCGGTATCACCCCGGGCCAGGCGGCAGCCATCGCGTCCACCACCATCATGGTGCCCTTTGGCCTGGTCTTCATCGTCTTCGCCGTCCACTTTTACCGCTCACTGGTCAGCCACAAGACGGACCGACAGTTCCAGGAGCTCAGTGAGCTGGCCGAGTTTGCCCGCCTGCAGGACCAGATGGACCACAGAGGGGACCACCCCCTGACGCCCGGCAGCCACTATGCCTAAGCCCTTGTGGTCCAGGGCCCTTCCCCATGACCTTGTCCTGCCAAAGCCTCAAGGACAGCCTGTGCAGGGAGCTGGGCTTCATTGAGGGGCAGAGAGCGGAGGGAAGAGGCTTTTTGTAAAAGAGATTACTGCACTTTGAAACTTTCCTCCAAGTCAGAGTAAGCACTTCCTGTTCCTACAGCTCCAGGTCCACCTCCTGCTTAGGAGGTGGTGGGGTCCGGGTGGGGACAGACGCCCTCTTTGTCCCCTCTCCTCCCCCGTGCCAGTGCCTCCTGGATGCTTCCTGTCCTTTCCGTCTTGACCTCCCTCCCTGTTGTGCAGCGAGCGTGTGCGTGTGTGGACACATAAATATACTCACAAGGGACGCCTCCTGCTTGAGTCTCCATTTGTTGGGTCTGGGCTGCCTGGAATGGTTTTTCCTGGTGCCCCCACTCTGGGGGCTTCTAAACAGAGTTTTGGGTTTTTTTCCCCGAATATTCTTATTTTGAAAAATTTCAAACCTGCAAGTAAAGCTGCATGAATAGTAACTGAAATAGACAAGGTACTTCAGAAAGTTTATGGGAAAATGGGAGTAAAAGAAGTTTATTTTGGTGCAAACAATGTTGAAATGTCTATGTACGAGGGCCTTCAGAAAGTTCATGGAAAATGCATATTGGGGGGAAAATGGCATGGATTCCCAAGTATTTTCACCCTGAAAACTTACTCAATCTGTTTTCCCACAAACGGTTTGAAGTACCCTTGTATGCACAGTCATTTCTTGTTAGTCTGTCAATCACAGTAAACTCTGGGTTAGCAAAAACTGGATCGTTGCTCCAAGGGAAATATGGGACTGGCTTCCTGGCAGCCCGTAGTCTTGATGTTTCCATCAGTCCATTAATGCGTAACCTGGTGTTAGGTGTGTTTCTGTGTGAAGACATCTTTATGTCGTTGATTCACTGTGATTGAACTCACAGCCAGCAGCGCTATAATTCAAGCCTGGGCAAAACTCACCTCATACACGTGTTTTCTCCAGGAGTACTAAATGGCACTCAAGTATTTCACATGGGGACCATTTTAAACAGCAAAATCACCAACAGAAAGCACAAAAATGTGAAAAATGTGACACTAAATAAACCATAAAAATGACACGTACAGTAATGGAGCTGAAATAAGGCAGAGTATTGCTCTGCTCGGCCTCCGTGTGTCAGTGAATTCACAAATACTGAGCCGTGAGTGATGAGGCCACACGTGTGTATTTTCCCCTCTGAGCCATGTGCCTTTTTTTTGATTCGTGTTGTGGGGGGATATTTTTGTTTTTGTCTTTTTATTTATTTTTTTTTATTTATTTATTTTTTGACAGGCAGAGTGGACAGTGAGAGAGAGAGACAGAGAGAAAGGTCTTCCTTTGCCGTTGGTTCACCCTCCAATGGCCTGCGGCACCGTGGTGATCCAATGGCAGGAGCCAGATACTTATCCTGGTCTCCCATGGGGTGCAGGGCCCAAGCACTTGGGCCATCCTCCACTGCACTCCCTGCAGAGAGCTGGGCTGGGACAGAATCCGGTGCCCCGACCAGGACTAGAACCCGGTGTGCCGGCACCGCAAGGCGGAGGATTAGCCTAGTGAGCCGTGGTACCGGCCGTGTTTTTGTCTTTTTAAAGACTTATTTGGAAGACAGTGTCAGAGGGATCTTCACCACTGGTTCACTCCCCAAATGGCTGCAACATCCCGGCCTGGGCCAGGCTGAAGCCAGGAACTCCATCCGGGTCTCCCGCGTGCGTGGGTGACAGAGGCCCAAAGTCTTGGGCCATCCTCTGCTGCTTTCCCAGACACAATAGCAGAGAGCTGGATCAGAAGTGGAGCATCTGGCTGGTGCCATGGCTCACCTGCCTTGTGGCGCCAGCATCCCATATGGGCGCTGGGTTCTAGTCCTGGCTGCTCCTCTTCCAGTCCAGCTCTCTGCTGTGGCCCGGGAAGGCAGTGGAGGATGGCCCAAGTGCTTGGGCCATGCACCCGCATGGGAGATCAGGAGAAGCACCTGGCTCCTGGCTTCGCATCAGCGTGGTGCACCAGCCGTAGTGGCCATTTGGGGAGTGAACCAACAGAAGGAAGAGTTCTCTCTCTCTCTCTCACTCTGTCAAATAAATTAAAAAAATAAAAAAAAGTGGCGCATCTGAGACTGGAATGAGCCTCACATGGGATGCTGACATCACAGGTAGTGACTTAAACCACTGCACCACAACACCAGCCCAAGAGCAGCAGTGTATTTTTTGTTTTTGTTTTTTTAAGGCTTATTTTTTGGAAAGGCAGAGTTACAGAGATAGAGAGTAAGAGATAGTCACTCCCCAAAAGGCCACATGGGTAGAGCTGGGCCAATCCAAAGCCAGAAGCCCAGCTTCTTCCGGGCCTCCCACATGAGTGTTGTGGCCCAGGTACTTGGGCCACCTGCTGCTTTCCAAGGCACAGTAGCAGCAGCTGGGTCAGAAGTGGTGCATCCAGGACTCTCCAGCATCCATGTGGGATGCTGGTGCCGCAGCCAGTGGTTCTACCCACTATGCCATAGTGCCAGCCGGAGCCATGGTTAGGTTTATTTTTATTTTTTTTTAAGATTTATATTATTTGAAGGGCAGAGTTACAGAGAAAGGTCTTCCATCTGCTGGTTCACTCCCCCAGACAGCCGCCATGGCTGGGAGCTGTGACAATCCGAAGCCAGGAGCTTCTTCCGGGTCTCCCATGCGGGTGCAGGGGCCCAAGGACTTGGGGTATCTTCTGTTTTCCCAGGCCACAGCAGAGAGCTGGATCGGAAGTGGAGCAGCTGGGACTTGAACCAGCGCCCATATGAGATGCCGGCACTGCAGATGGCTGCTTTACCTGCTACACCCCAGTGCCATCCCCGCCATGTTCTTTAATTACACATATTGTCATTTTTTATGCCTGACCACTCCTCCAAAAGAGCGTTCTGCTACATAACCACAAATCAATCACCAGGAAGTTGACCTTGATAATATTGTTACCTAATATAATAGTCATTTCATTTTCCCACTTGTCCCAGTAGTGTCCCTTCTAGCAATTTCTTTGCCAGTCCAAGATCAAGCACTGCCTTGAGCTGTCACATCTTGGTTTCCTTTCATTTGGAACAGTTCTTCATTCTTTCTCTTTTGTAACTTAAACGTCTTTGGAGAGTCCAGGCCTGTGGTTCTGGAAGATGCGCTCGTAGTTTGTTTTCTCTGGCACTTTCTCATTCTTAGAGTCAGCTGTGCATTTGGGAAGGCCTATTAGGTAAGTGAGGCTGCATCGGGGACCCGCCCTGATGTGTGGATGCTGCTCTAAGCACTGTGTGTTGGCTCTGAATCCTCAGCATCCTTGTCAGCTCCATTTCGCAGATGGCGAGGCTGATGCCCAGGTGAGATAGGTAACCTGGAAAGTCTGACTCACGCACATGCTCTCACACAATCTAATCTGGGCCAGTGTCTTGCAGAACAGTCGTGAGCAGGGGCCGGCACCATGGCACAGAGGGTCACATTGCTGCTTCCAGTCCCCACAGCCCATGTGAACTCCAATTTGAGTCCCCACTGCTCCACTTCTGATCCAGCTCCCTGCTAATGGGCCGGGGAAAGCAGTAGAAGATGACCCAAGTCCTTGGGTCTCTGCCTCCCGTGCCAGGGACCTGGATGGATTTCCAGGCTCTGGCTTTGCCCTGGCCTAGCCCTGGCTGTTGAGACTATTTGGAGAGTGAACTATGGGATGCAAAATCTCTCTCTCTGCCTCTCCCTCTCTAATTCTTGCCTTTCAGATAAATAAATCCTTTTTTTTTTTTTTTTTTAATTACTAATGAGGAGGAGTTGAGTTGCAGGACCTGTCTTTGCCACCACCCGTCTTACTCCGCACCCAGGCCAGCTTCACTTGTATGAGAATTGCTTGGACCCACAGGCCCTGGAGTTTGAGGTTTCTGTCTGTTGCAAAAACCCAAATGTATAAAGTGATTTTGTAAGAGCGAGAGCTCTGGCTGAACTGAAAACTGCCTGGGGGAAGAGGAAGAGACACCAGGGCTGCAGGCACGGATAACGCCGTGTGGGGCCACAGCACGAAGGCGGCTGCTTGCTTCAAGTCAGAAGGAAAGGTTTCAGCAGAAACCAACCCTGACGGCAGCTTGGTCTCGGACTTCAGCCTCCAGAACTGAGAAAACTGTTAAAGCCACCAAACATAAAAATGTTGGGTGTGGCAGTGACGGGCCTAATATTTATCCCCCTCCCATCATTGTTCCCCGGATGCTTTCCCAGAACCCGAGGCTTGAGGAACACAGATTGGGAAGTGTGGCCTTCAAGTCTTGTCCTGCGGTGCCCCCAACACAGTGAACAGCAGTTTCCTGGGCTGCGTGGCAGTGGGGCCTCCTCACTGAAGCTTCTCCCACTCACCCTGCACCCTGTGCACCAGGCCCTGCCCCTGTCTGGGAGCAGGGAGGGCTGGGCAGGGCCTGTGTGGAGCTCCCCACTGCCCCCCAGAGAAAATCGGGACACTGCATTTTGCAGCATTCCCCTAAGACAGCCTTACTTCTGCAGAGATCCTATCCTGGATGTGGCTGGAGTTGCTTTGGGCTCTTCATCCCTTAGCTTCTCCTCCTCAGACTGGCCTGCACTCCACCATCAACAGCTGGGCTTGGGAAACCCCCATGGAGATTCTGATTCAGGTTGGTCAGGTTCTGTCTCTGGAATCCCTAACATGCACCCCAGGTACTCACTCTGGCAGTTAAGAGCACAGTCCCTTCAATTTCACTTTTACTGACAGTTTGAATACAGGAGATAACACATTCTCATGGTTGCCAATACAACAGTGAGAAGCTGCTCTCCCACCATCGCAGGAACCCCAGTTGGGCTCCCCATTGACACCAGTGTATTGTATTCCCAGCTAATGATGTTCTACACCTAAACAACACACACACTCTCCCCACCCCACCCGCATCCCCACCCTTCTGTACTTGAAAGAGCAGACAGACCCAGGTTTAAGCCCAGGACTAGCGTGGTGGCTTGTGAACCTCCCTAAACCTCAATTTCCTTTTCTAAAATTGTAGTAATAGGGCTGGTGCTGTGGCATAAAAGGCTAAGCCTATGCCTGCAGTGTAGGCATCCCATATGGACGCCTGTTCAAGTCCCGGCTGCTCCACTTCTGATCCAGCTCCCTGTTAATATGCTTAGGAAAGCAATGGAAGAGGCCCAAGTGTTTGGGCCTCAATGCCTGCGTGGGAGATCCAGAATAAAGCTTGTGGCTCCTGGCTTTTGCCTGGCACAGCCCTGACTGTTGCAGCCATTAGGAGAGTGAACCAGTGGATGGAAAACCTCTCTGTGTCTCTTCTTCTTGCTCTGTATCTCTGCCTTTGAAATAAATAAAAAACTTTAAAAAAAATTAAATGGCACTAATAACAGCAAGACACCTTGCAGATGGCTGTCACAAGGCAGGGGGCCTGCAAAGCTGTCAGCACAGAGCCTGGCACAGAGTGAGCTCCGTATCTGGTGGTTACTCTTGATGCTACATCCCAGGGTGGCCAGGAACACAAGCCCAGGGCCAGGCCACCTGCCTAGGGAGCACCGAGAACCCTGAGCCAGCCTTTATTGAGCCTTTTCTGAGAGCCGGGCACTCATTGAGGACTGAAGGACTTTGCCAGCAGTACTTCAGGGTTCCTGGAGCTCAATACTGTCAGCTTTGGGCCGAATGGTTCTTTTTTTATTATTTGTTATTTATTTTTAACGATTTATTTTATTTGAAAGAGTTACAGAGAGAGATCTTCCATCCACTGGTTCACTTCTCAAATGGCTGCAAAGGCTAGGGTTGGGCCAGGCTGAAGCCAAGAGCCAGGAGTTTCTTCTGAGTCTCCCACATGCGTGCAGGGACCTAAGAACTTGGGCCATCTTCCACTGCTTTTCCTGACACATTAGCAGGGAGCTGGATTAAAAAAAAAAAAAAAAAAAACTTTTAAGAATTGTGTTTATATTTCCTTTCTCTCTGTCTCTCACTGTCCACTCTGCCTGTCCAAAAAAAAAAAAAAAAAAAAACAAAAAGGGTGTTGATATTTATTTGAAAGGCAGAGAGACAGAGATCTTCCATCTGTTGGTTCACTCCCCAAATGCCCGCAACAGCTGGGGCTGCACCAGGCCAAAGCCAGGAACCTGGAATTCAATCTGGGTCTTCACGTAGGTGCCAGTGGCCCAAGGACTTGAGCCGTCACTTGCTGCCTCTCAAGCAAGAAGTCGGATTGGGAGTAAAGGCAGGACTGAAGCCCAGGCACACCAGTGTGGGATGCAGGAGTCCCCAGTGGGATCTTAACTGCCGCACCAAAGCTCACCTTTTGTGGCGCCTTTACATTGTAGCGTGTTTAGCAGCATCTCCAGCCTCTGCCCACTAGATCCCGGAGACATTCCACTATATGTGACAACCAAAAACCTTCCTGCACATTGCCAGATGTGGCCAAGGAGCTGGGGTGGGGAATGGGCAAAATGGTTAAGAACCATTGCCTTATTGGACGGTCACAGCTGCTAACCACAGTAAACCCAGGTGGTAAGTATAATATCGTCCCATGTTACCAGCAAGGAAACCAGGGAGACAGAATTTGGGCGACATATTCCCAAGAGCAAATGGCCAGGTCTGGGATTCCTCGCCAGCAGTGTGACCCACGTGCCGCAGCCCCTCCCATCTCAGGAATGCAGGGCAGACGAGAACTCTGCAGAGCTCTTCCAGGTATCTGGTCCACGGTAACCTCAGCAGCAGCATCACACCTGTTATCAAAGCCTCAGGGGGCAGGCGTCTGGCACAGCAGTCAGGACTAAACTTGGGACGCCTGCATCCCACATCAGAGTACCTGGGTTCAAGTCCCAGCTCTGCTCCCAATTCCAGCTTCCTGCTCATGCACCTGGGAAGCTAGTGGATGATGGCTCAACCACTAGAGCCCCTGCCACACATGTGGGAGACCCAGATGGAGTTCCTGGCTGCTGGCTTCGGCCTAGTGCAACCCTAGCTCGTTTTTTTCTCTCTTTCTCCTTTCGCCTTTCAAATAAATAAGTCTTAAAAAAAAAAAGAAGAAGAAAAAGAAGGAGCAAGCCCAGGGCTTCACCCCAGATGATTAGATGGGAATCCTTGAACAGTTGTGGCTTTTGAAGCTTCCACAAGGTCAGGAGCCCCTGTGCTAGGCTGAGAAGCCAGGTCGGGTCCTAATCTCAAATTCTGGTGGCCAGGGTGTTGGGGAGCAGGCTCACTCTCCTCTTTGGGCTAACTCAGAGGTCAGAGACCTGGAGCCACCTGCTCTCCCCCCAAGCTAAAGCCATGCAGCCTGGAGACCTCCTTCCTGTTCACCTGAACTCCCACTGCTCCCCTCACGCCCAACCTTGCACCACAGGCTCCCGCCTAAGCCACCGGGTTCTTCTTTATTCTCATGTGCTGTGGGTTGAGGTCACAGCACAAAGGTCATCACGAGAGGGTCCCCAAGGCCAGCCTGGGGGAGACTCAGTGGCCTCTTAGTGGCCAAGCACGGCCCAGTGCTGGAGGAGCAAGGTGCCCTCTGAGGGTGCCAAGGGCGTGCCCAAAGTTGCTGCTCGCTCCTCCAGCAGGAGCCTCACCGGTCTGAGCAGCTGGGTGACACAGGCTTGCTTGTCCTGAAGCCTTGGCGTTCTCTGCAGGAGTGAGGGGGTGGCAGGAGCTGGCGTCTGGATGATGCTGTGCCACAGCCGCCTCCTTACACCCTTATTCACACCCAGCCGGGAGAGGCAGGGGCTGACCCCAGGGAAAGAGGCGCACATGGAGGTCGGCACTGAAGGCCTCACTCAAGGACATTTAAGAACCAGCGGGTTCCCTGACTCCAGTCCCTGTGCCCCTCCCAGCAGGCCCTGTGTGAGTCCGGGACATTCTGGGCAGGTCTGGCAAGACAATGGGTTTTGAAGGGAAGGGACCGAGAGGACCTGCTGCACGGCAGGAGGCGAGAAACCTGCCCTCTCCGGTCCTGCCCCACCCCCCACCCCCCAGCCCGTTGGGGATCCCAGGGAATCTGTGTGTTGTTCCAGGATCTGGAGCTGACTCAGCCACGACACAGGGGGGCAGGCATGCCCACCCCTCACCTGGCATCACTCTCCTTCCTCTTCCTCTGTCTTCTTGAACATGGCCAAGGCTTCCTCCAGCACACCGTCGGGGTCTAGAACTTTGATCTGGAGGGAATAGCAGGGGGCTGGTTTGGGGAGCATGGAAGGCCCAGGCTGCCAGCCTCGGGGGCAACTTCCCAACTCCCCACTTCCCCTGGGATGCCCTGACTGAAAACAAAACCATGTCTGTTCTCCAGCTGGGAGAGGCTGGGCAGGGCCAGCACTGCTGGTTTCTGTTTCTCTCTGGGTGTGGCTCCAGGACCCTGGTGAGGGCTGCCCACCTCAGGAATGGGGAACTGGGTGGGCTGTGGGGCCTCATCACGGCCGAAGTCGATCATGGTGCCGCATTTGGCCACGTCATCTACCCAGAAGCCTTCAAACAGCTGACCGTGGTCCAGGTGGAAGAAACGCCCATGTCCGTTCTTCATGCCTCTCTGCCAGTAGCCCTCGTAGCGGTTCCCGTTCTCTGGGAAAGGACAGTGGGTGTGGCTGCTGCATTCACCAGGCCAGGCTGACCCTCCACCACCGTGGAGAAGACTGCCCTGGGGACCTACAGGCAGGTGTCAAAACCACGCCAGGCCCTGTGCAAATAAGCCTCAGTTAACCTTCGCAGTAACCCCAGGAAGTAGGTACATTTCATTTTTATTCTGACTTATGGATGAGGACAACCAAGTGCAGGTTAAGCCAATCAACAAGGCCTACCCACTGCTAGGAAGAGCTCAGGCCAGGATCTGACCCCAGGCAGGCTGGAAAAAGGATACCCTTGGAGCTCTCCCAGCACCCAGGCATTGTGAAATGGAGACTGAGGCACCCACAGGCAAAGCAACTCGCCCAAGGTTCTACCTCTCATGCTGTGAAGGGAAGGAAGAGGGTGCTGAAAATAAGGAGGTGTGCTCTGGGTGGAGTGGACAGAGAAGGACCTGCGGAGGGACAAGCAACGTTGTAGGGAAAAGCATTCCAGAAACATGGAAGAGCAGTGCCACAGTCCTGTGGGAGGAACTGCAAGTTAGTGAGGCCAGAACCAACGGGAGTCCAGGGGAAGGCGGGGGGAGGGGAAGTTGGAGGCTGAGCCCCAAAGGCCACAGGAAGGGCTGGGCCCCAGCCTGAGGGCCACAGGGAGAACAGAGCCTGATAAGATTGGCTTTCTGCTCTGGAAAGCCCAGGGCGTGGATGAGTCCGGACAGGACAGTTTCTCGCTGGCGACTCTTCCCTCTCTGGCCAGGACCTGGCTCCTCTGCCAGCAGGTCTCTGTTCAGCGTGCAAACACCTCTCCCAAGAGTCATTCCTTGGCCTCGTGTCAAGCTAAACAGCCCGGCCCCCAGCTCCTTCACCACTTCCCAGCACACTTTCCTGTTTTCCAAGGAGAATTCCTTAGCACTTGTGACCCACAACTAACAGCCTGTCTGACCTTGTGGGAGTGACTTCACCTCATGGGCTCAGTTCACTGTACCCTACAGGATGCTTTGTGAGGATTAAATGTGTTCAGTACTGTTGATCACTGTCGCTATAAGAAATTGTCTTATTGCGGCCGGCGCTGTGGCATAGCAGGTTAAGCCGCTGCCTGCAATGCAGGCATTCCATATGGGCACTCCACTTCCTATCCAGCTCTCTGCTAATGTGCCTGGGAAAGCAGTAGAAGATGGCCCAAGTGCTTGGACCCCTGCACCATGGCAGGAGACCTGGAAGAAGCTCCTTGTTATGGCTTCAGCCTGGCCCAGCCCGGGTTGTTGCAGTCATTCGGGGAGTGAACCAGCAGATGGAAGATCTTGCTCTACTTCTTCCCCCCACCTTCTTGCTCTCGCTCTCTCAACTCTGCTTCTCAAGCAAATAAAATAAATCTTTTTTAAAAAAAAAAGAAAGAAAGAAGTTAATTATAACATCAAGGGAGGCCAGGCATCTCCTTAACCTTATCCCAGGTCAGGCAAGGCCAGGCAGGCCCCCAAAGAGGGGCAGAGGCAGTTGCACAGGGCGTGGCCAGCCAGGTCCCAGGGGCGGGGCAGGGCGGGGCCGGCGGGATGGGGGCGGGGCACTCACTTAACCGCAGCATTCCCTCTCCTTCGTGCTGGTCGTTCCACCACTGGCCCTCGTAGATGTCGCCATTGCTGTAGTACATGCGGCCCCACCCACTGCGCTGGTCGCCACACCACTCACCCTCGTAATACTCCTTGGGTCCGTAAAACTGGATTCCATAGCCCTGCAAGCAAGAAGATGTCCTGGTCTGTGGCGGCCCACCTTATTCCAGGCCGGGAGCCACTCACAGGAGTTCCTCCTGGCTTCCTTCCTGGGCCCTGCACCCCAGGGGAGGGTTGCCCCTCCAAAGATGACCCCAGGCTGTCTATCTCTGCCTCTGCTGCCGCCTCCAGGCAGCCCACCATCACTCCTCCCTGCGGGTTCTCACTGCTGCCCATGCATGGAAGCCAGGGGACCTTAAACCAACCTCTGATCTAGTTGCCCCACCCCCACCCTATCCCCAGGGACTCTGACCCCATTAGAGTCTCACAGAATCAGATCAGAGCTGTGGGTTTTCTTCCTAGAAAGACGAACATAAACACCACACTGAGCGTCTACCCAAGGGGAAGCCAGACTCCCTGCAGACAAGGAGCTTCTGTTAACAGCGCAAAGTCTACTCAGAATTCTGGACCAGTGTTGTGACTAAAGGGTAAAATCCTTGCTTGCCATGCCAGCATCCCATATGGGTGTAGGTTACTATCCCTGCTGCTCTACTTAAAATCCAGCTCCCTGCTAATGTGCCTGGGAAAGCCGTGGAAGATGACCTAAGGGCTTGGGCCCCTGCACCAACATGGGAGACCCAGAAGCAGCTCCTGGCTCCTGGCTCCTGGCTTTGGCCTGGACCAGCTCCGGCCATTGTGGCCATTTAGGGAGTGGATCAGTGGATGGAAGATCTCTCTCTCTGTAATGCTGCCTTTCAAATAAATAAATCTTTGGGGGGAAAAATAGTATTAACTTATTTGAGAGGCAGAGAGAGCGCCCGTTTCCTGGCTCACTCCCCAAAAGCTCAAGAGAGCGGAGCCCTGCAGAAGCCAGGAGCTGGGAACTCAGTCTCCAGGGTGGGTGGCAGGAACCCAGTCTCTCCTGCTGCCTCCCAGGGTGTGCAGGAAGCTCGAGCAGGAGCTGGAGTCGAGACTCAGAGCTAGGTACTCCCCTGCAGGATCTGGCATCTTGCTGCGGCTTGGCCTCGGTGCCCATATGGGATGCCGGCACCGCAGGCAGAGGCTTAGCCTACTATGCCACAGCGCTAACCCCCAACTAGCAACTTTTGATGTAGCCCCCTACAGGAAGCTTGCCTCGAATTTCCAAGGCTAAGCCTAATGATCCCCCTGTAGACAACCTGTGAAAACCTCTATCCTAACACCAAGTCATATGTAAAGGCTTATCTTAGGCATTCTCTCCCACTGGCCAATAAGCAATTTTTTATTTATTTATTTTTTTTTTTTACAGGCAGAGTGGACAGTGAGAGAGAGAGACAGAGAGAAAAGTCTTCCTTTGCCATTGGTTCACCCTCCAATGGCTGCCGTGGCCTGCGCACTGCGGCTGGCGCACCACGCTGATCCAATGGCAGGAGCCAGGTACTTATCCTGGTCTCCCATGGGGTGCAGGGCCCAAGCACCTGGGCCATCCTCCACTGCACTCCCTGGCCACAGCAGAGAGCTGGCCTGGAAGAGGGGCAACCGGGACAGAATCCGGCGCCCCGACCGGGACTAGAACCCGGGGTGCCGGCGCCGCAAGGCGGAGGATTAGCCTAGTGAGTCGTGGCACCAGCCCCAATAAGCAATTTTAGAACAGAGAACATGAAGACCTGGGCTCTACCCCTTGCCAACTGTCTGATCCCAGGCCAGGCACTCCACCTCTCTGAGCCGTTTTCAGCAGTAAAAGGAAGATGGTCTTGAGTGTTAACTGGAGTATCACCGCGGCTGTTGCTAAATAGCAGTGCTATTATTACCTGTCACCACGGCCCAGGGGGTGTGCGAGAGTAACTAAGGGCATCTGTCCGCAGCTGGGTGTTCATGGGCGCCTCTCAGGACCCTCCCCTCTCATCCTGTGACCAAGGGTGTGGCCTCTGCTTTCTTCCCCCCACTTTTATTCCCTTCCCCCCCAACTTTACCCAGGCCCAGCAGAAGGGGGATTCTCAGGAGCCCAGAGAAAAGAAAGCCAGGAAATGCAGGGTGGGGGTGGGGACTGAAGAAGGAGCCCTCCCCTTACAAGCCTGGCAGCTCAGTAGCCACAGGGTTTCCTGGGCTCCTCCCTGGGCCCTCTCCGCCGGCTTCCTGTTTCCTGGGTTTTGTTCTGAGAAGTCTGGACTATACCCCCACCCCTTCAGTCTCCCACCCTCACATAACCCTGTATTTTCCCTGGTAGAAACCCCCTTCCCTTTTCCCACATCTCTCTGACTGCTACTCTGATGCCCACCTGTTCACACTCACACATGCACACATTCATACACTCATGCTCACACACATATGTACACACATGTGCTCATTCACTCACACACACGCTCATTCACAAACACATGTTCACAGTACACACATGCTCACTTACACTCATAAATTCATACAGTCACACATGTGTGCTCACACACATGCTCACTCTTACACACTCACACACGCACACAGCCACACACTCACCGATTTCTTGTTGTTCTTCCACCAGCCCGAGTAGACTCTCTGGTACTTTCCTGCCTCTTGGTCAGGAAGGCTGAGGGTGCCGTAGCCATCTCGCTTCCCGTACTTCCAGTCCCCCTCATAGATGGCTCCTTTCTTCTTCCAGAACTGGGTTCCTTTCCCTGGTGACACACAGAGGGGATCTCACATCTCCTGGCTTTTCCTCCCTCCCAGCAGATGTGCGTTGCCCTGGGGCAGGGAAGGGGTCCCTGCCCCTAACAGGATGGTGCTCCAGGGTGGGAACAGGATCTGGGCCTCATCTCTAGATCCCAGAACCCAGAAAAGTTCCGTTTCTTTTCTTTTTCTTTTTCTTTTTCTACATACAATATCAATTTTTTATTTTTATAGACAGGCAGAGTGGACAGTTAGAGAGAGAGACAGAGAGAAAGGTCTTCCTTTGCCGTTGGTTCACCCCCCAATGGCCGCCGCGGCTGGCGCGCTGCGGCCGGCGCACCGCGCTAATCCGATGGCAGGAGCCAGGAGCCAGGTGCTTTTCCTGGTCTCCCATGGGGTGCAGGGCCCAAGCACCTGGGCCATCCTCCACTGCACTCCCTGGCCACAGCAGAGAGCTGGCCTGGAAGAGGGGCAACCGGGACAGAATCCGGCGCCCCGACCGGGACTAGAACCCGGTGTGCCGGCGCCGCTAGGTGGAGGATTAGCCTAGTGAGCCGCAGCGCCTGCCGAAAAGTTCCGTTTCTACAAACAGCGTTTCCCTAGCCTTCTGCCCTGAAGCCGGAAGAACATAGTAAACACCAGACAGAAACCCACCCTCACTGCTTCACCTTTACCGCTTTTAAAAACGTTTATTTATGGGGCCGGCACTGCGGTGTAGTGGGTAAAGCTGCAGCCTGCAGTGCCGGCATCCCATATGGGTGTTGATTAGAGTCCTGGCTACTCCACTTCCAATCCGGCTCTCTGCTATGGCCTGGGAAAGCAGTAGAAGATGGCCCAAGTCCTTGGGCCCCTGCACCCATGTGGGAAAACTGGAAAAAGCTCCTGGCTACTGTCTTCTGATCTGATCAGCACAGCTCCAGCCATTGCAGCCATCTGGGGAGTGAACCAGCAGATGGAAGACCTCTCTCTCTCTCTCTCTCTCTCTCTCTGCCTCCCCTTCTCTCTCTGTGTAACTCTGACTTTCAAATAAATAAATAAATCTTTAAAAATGTTTATTTATTTCTTTGAAAGACAAAAAGAGATCTTTAGTCACCAGTTCACTCCCCAAATACTCATAACAGACAGGACCTAGGCCAGGCTGAAGCCAGGAGCCAGAAACTCCATCCTGGTCTCCCCACATGGGTGGGAGGGGGCCCAAGCACTTGAATCATCATCTGCTGCCTCCCAAGCTGCATTAGCAGGAAGCTGGATAAGAAGTGGAGGAGCGGAGATTTCAGCCCACACCCCAAGATGGGAGGTGGGCGTTCAAAGTGGTGGCAGAACCTGGCGTATCACGATGCCTGCCCCATCAGCTTCACTGCCTAATGGTGCTGCATGGACAGATGGCCACATGTTCCGAATATTTTCTTCAATTCTCCGAAACAGACAGGGAGTCCTAATCCTCGTCCCGCACTCCTACCTTCCAATTGCCCTGCAGCCCCTAGAATTTCCATGACGTTCCTGGGACCTGCCAGCCATGCTCCTGCCTTAAGGCCTTCTTATTTCTCCAGATGTTCACTCACTCTCTTCCTCCTGTACACCTGTGTCCGTTCTCACATTCTCCATGAGGCCCAGCCTAGTCACCTGAAACTACAACCCTTATAGCCCTCTGTTTCTTTTCACATAACAGGTGATTCTTTATGTCCTCTATTGTCTATTGTCTGTCTCCAAACCCGGGAGGGCACAGACTGGTCTGTTTCATTCATTGCCCTGCATAACAGTGTCTGGCATATCATAGGTGATTAATATCTGTTAAACAAGAAACACAGGGCAGGCATTGTGGTGCCTCGGGTAAAGCCACAGCTTGGGATGCCTGCATCCTGTATCAGAGTGCTGGTTTGAGTCCCGGCTGCTCACTTCCTGGTCTGGGTCCCTGCTAAAGAACCTGGGAAGCAGGGGATGATGGCTCAGGTACTTGAGTTCCTTGCATCCATGTGGGAGACTTGGATGGAGCTCCTGGCTCCTGGCTTCAGCCATAGTTGCAGGAATTTGGAGAGTGAGCCAGCAGATAGAAGGCCCATCTCTTTCTCTCTCTGACACTCTGCCTTTCAAGTAAATAAATCTTAAAAAAAAAAAAAAGAATAAAACACAGATTGCGTATCCCTAATCCAAAAATCTGAAATTCAAAATACTCAAAATCTGAAACTTTCAGAGTACTGACATGACACCACAAGTGGAAAATTTCACACCTGACTTCAGGTGACAGATCATAATCAAAATGCAGGTGAACCGGGCTGGCGCCAGGGCTCACTTGGCTAATCCTCTGCCTGCAGCGCCGGCATCCCGGGTTCTAGTCCCGGTTGGGGTGCCAGATTCTGTCCCAGTTGCTCCTCTTCCAGCCCAGCTCTCTGCTGTGGCCCCCGGGAGTGCAGTGGAGGATGGCCCAAGTGCTTGGGCCCTGCACCCCATGGGAGACCAGGAGAAGTACCTGGCTCCTGGATTCGGATCAGCACAGCACACCAGCCATAGTGGCCATTTGAACCAATGGAAGGAAGACCTTTCTCTCTGTCTTTCTCTCTCTCACTGTCTAACTCTGCCTGTCAAAAAAAATGAATGCAGGCTGGCGCCGTGGCTCACTAGGCTAATCCTCTACCTTGCGGCGCCGGCACACCAGGCTCTAGTCCCAGTCGGGGCGCCGGATTCTGTCCCGGTTGCCCCTCTTCCAGGCCAGCTCTCTGCTGTGGCCAGGGAGTGCAGTGGAGGATGGCCCAAGTGCTTGAGCCCTGCACCCCATGGGAGACCAGGAGAAGCACCTGGCTCCTGCCATCGGATCAGCGCAGTGCGCCGGCTGCAGAGCGCCAGCCACGGCGGCCATTGGAGGGTGAACCAATGGCAAAGGATGACCTTTCTCTCTGTCTCTCTCTCTCACTGTCCACTCTGCCTGTCCAAAAAAAAAAAAAATGCAGGTGAACTAAAAATATTGTTTAGGCTATGTGTATAGGCTACATATGATATGAAACAATCAACTTCCTGTTGAGACTTGTATATGGGCAAATATTCCCCCAAAAAAACTGAAACCAAAACCACTTTTAGTTCCAAGTGTTTCAGACAAGTACTATTTGTGGAATACCCACGTGGGCCAATTCATGCCTTGGATCTTGGTAGCCCAGCAATAAATCTGACATTGTCCCTAGGAGTTCACAGGGCCTCAGATTCCTCTTCTGAAAAACGGAGTTGGGGCCATGCTGTGGCTCAGCAGGTTAAGGCATTGCAGACAATTATTACAGCACCTCACTCTATGTAGAAGCCAAAAATCACACTTGTAGAAAAAGAGAGCAGAATGGTGGCTACCAGGGCCTGAAGAGAGGAGGGAATGGGGAGATGACCCTGCCATACACAAGTCAGTTCTGGAGCCTACCACACAACATGGTGACCATCCATCATCACATCATGGTGGACACTTCAAATCCGCCAGGTAGATTTGATTGTTAGAAACTTAAAGAAGTGCTTTACATTTTATCTTTGTGTATTTGAAAGGCAGAGAGATAGAGACAGAGGCAGAGAAACAGAGACAGAGATTGTCGATGTACTAGTTTGCTCCCCAAATGCCTGCAAGAGTTGGGGTTGGGCCAGGCTGAAGCCAGGAGTCAGGAGCATCTTCCAGGTCTCCCATGTGGATGCAAGGGCCAAGAACCCAAAACTCACCCCAGGTTTGCCAAGTGGGTGGCAGGCACCCACGTAACTGCACGACCTGTCTTCCCCGCCCTACCACATGCCACCCCTCTGGCCTGCTTTCCCTCACTTTGTCCAACGCCCCTGGCCTCCTTTGCTCCAGCTGTTCCTCCGTCCTGGAATGCTGGTCCCTGCAAAGCTCCACTCGGCTGACTCCCTCACCCTCAGTCCTGGCTCAGAACTGAAGTGAATCCACCTAGTTAATTTTAGCACCGCTAGCACACCATCTTATTCAGTCAACAAGCCTCTTGCCTCACCGCTGAATCTCTACATACTATGGTCCCTGGCACACAGTAGGTGCTCGAGAACTGCTGTGGCATCAGTGTGAGTTGGGTTCTTCCTAAGTCATGGATGCACCATTTGTTCAGCCATATCCAACTGTAGGTATCAGGAATGGTGGGGATACAGCCAGGGCTGACCAAGGCCCCTCCATTAAGTCATTTACTATCTGCCTCTGGGATAAAGGCCAAACTCACCGCAGGCCGTATATGGCTGGCCCTGGCCTCCTCTCCCTCACTGCTCCAGCCACGCTGGCTCCCAGTCGGGTCCTGGAACAAGCCTCTTCCCTCTAACACTCTGCAGCATCCTCTTGTTCTGTCTCCTCTGGCTAGAGGTACAGCCCTCTGCCTGGCTAACTCGTCCTCGCTCTTTTGGACTCAATCCAAACATGGCCCCTTGGGCTTTCACATGTTCTCACAGCCCCTCCCTGTGCCCCTTCATACCCTGACACCACCATTTCCAGCTACTTCCCATCTCTGAGCTCTGGTTTCCTCTTCTGTAGAATGGGAATGCTACCCTACCCTCTGGTACTGGCAGATTCCCTGCAAAACTGGAAGCTCCCTGAGGGTTGGGATCATGCCAGATGCCCATAACAGAGCCTGCCAGTGGCTGCGAGGTCGTTAAGTTTGTGGAAGGAATGTGCTTGCCCTACCTAGGGACTCTCCTAACCACTTCCATCTTTTTGTTTGTCTTCAAGATTTATTTATTTGAGCCGGCGCCGTGGCTCAATAGGCTAATCCTCCACCTTGTGGCGCCGGCACACCGGATTCTAGTCCCGGTCGGGGTGCCGGATTCTGTCCCGGTTGCCCCTCTTCCAGGCCAGCTCTCTGCTATGGCCAGGGAGTGCAGTGGAGGATGGCCCAGGTGCTTGGGCCCTGCACCCCATGGGAGACCAGGAAAAAGCACCTGGATCCTGGCTCCTGCCATCGGATCAGCGCGGTGCGCCGGCTGCAGCGGCGGCCATTGGAGGGTGAACCAACGGCAAAAGGAAGACCTTTCTCTCTCTGTCTCTCTCTCTCACTGTCCACTCTGCCTATCAAAAATTAAAAAAAAAAAAAAAAAAAAGATTTATTTATTTGAAAGAGTTACACAGAGACAGAAAGAGAGGCAGAGAGAGAGGTCTTCCATCTGCTGGTTCACTCCCCAATTGGCTGCAACAGCTGGAGCTGCACTGATCTGAAGCCAGGAGCCAGGAGCTTTTTCCAGTTTTCCCACATGGGTGCAGGGGCCCAAGGACTTGGGCCATCTTCTACTGCTTTCCCAGGCCATGGCAGAGAGCTAGATTGGAAGTGGGGCAGCTGGGACTCTAACCAACACCCATATGGGATGCTGGCACTGCAGGTGGTGGCTTTACCCGCTACTTTACAGCGGCAGCCCCCCAATCTGCTTTTGCCACAGCAGCTTCAACTTGGTCAGAGGCATGTCTTGGGGAGAGAGGGGCTTGAGAGGCCCATAAGTTCTGTGTCAATACCTCCTCCGGGGTCTGAGGGGAAGCAGGACTCACGCAGAAGGCACACAGATCAGCCCACACTGTGGGATCTCAGCTGGGGAAGCCAAGATCCAGAGAATGGGAACGGATCTGCCTGAAGCCTCCCAGTGACTCAGTGGCAGAGCCAGGTTCAGAACTTCAGTGTCCTGACCCCAGTCCAGGGCGCCGCCCGCCCCACACACTATCCGCGAGAAATGAACATACGCAGGCATCTTTAACCGCATACAGTGCAGAGCAGCCAGAGTCACGCTTTTAAGGAGGAGCTGAGGGGGAGTGTCTTGCCTCATACTGGGTGGGGTCAGCTTTGGAGGGCATCTTGGACAAAGAAAGCTTTTGAGTAGTGACCCCTGCCACACACAGCCCTAAAAGAACATGCTAGAAGTTCCCTTTCTGCACAGACTGTGGACTATGCATTTGAGAGATGTTGCCTCTTACTGTTACAAACATGTATTATTATTATTATTATTATTTATTTTTTGACAGGCAGAGTTAGACAGGGAGAGAGAGACAGAGAGAAAGCTTTTCCTTTTCCGTTGGTTCACGCCCCAAAATGGCCGCTACGGCCGGTGCGCAGTGGCCACCGCGTTGTGCCGATCCAAAGCCAGGAGCCAGGTGCTTTCTCCTGGTCTCCCATGCAGGTGCAGGGCCCAAGGACCTGGGCCATCCTCCACTGCACTCCCGGGCCACAGCAGAGAGCTGGACTGGAAGAGAAGCAACCAGGACAGAATCCGGCGCCCCGACCAGGACTAGAACCTGGGGTGCCAGCGCCACAGGCGGAGGATTAGCCAAGTGAGCCATGGCACTGGCTACAAACAAGTATTATTTCCACCCTCTCCCCTTTTAGAAAGATTTATGGGGCCGGGGTTGTGGCATAGTAGGTTAAGTCTCTGCCTGCAGTGCCGCCATCCCATATGAGTGCCAGTTCGTGTTCTGGCTGCTCCACTTACAATCCAGCTCTGTGCTAATGGCCTGGGAAAGCAGTGGAAATGGCCCAAATGTTTGGGCCCCTGCACCCATGTGGGAGACCCAGGAGAAGTTCCTGGATCCTGGCTTCAGATCAGTCCAGCTCCGGCTGTTGCAGCCATTTAGGGAATGAACTAGCAAATGGAAGATCTCTATCTCTGCCTCTCTCTCTCTGTAACTCTGCCTCTCAATCCAGATTTCCCACATAGGTGGCAGGGACCCAAGTACCTGAGCCATGAACTACTGCCTTTCAGTGTGTGCATTAGAAGTAAACTGAGGGGCCAGGGCCGTGGCACAGTAGGTTAATCCTCTACCTGCGGCACTGTCATCCCATATAGGTGCTGGTTCTAGTTCTGGCTGCTCTTCTTCCAATCCTACTCTCTGCTATGGCCTGGGAAAGCAGTAGAAGATTGTCGCTCCCCCTCTTCATGGAGGAACGACACAGGACCCTGTGCTGTTCTTTTGTCTGCTCGGCCCTCTCCGGGTTTGCTGCTGGTCCTTCCCGGGTTGGCTACCATCCCTTCCACCTCCGTGGAAGGGCGGTTCCCCCTGCCACATTCCCCACTTCCGCGGGGGAGCGGCACACCGCCGGCCGGCTCTCTCGGGGGCTGCACAGGTGTTCCCCTTAGATGTTCCCCTTAGATGTTCCTGGTGCATGCCGTCTCTCTCCTCCTTTATAGTCCTCCTCCGCCAATCCCAACTCGGCTGCCCACATGCCGAGTACGCTGCTCTCCTCCAATCAGGAGCAGGATCAGCTCCTGGAGGTCATCACTCAAGTTGGCAAGAGGCAGCTGTGTAGAAGCTGTTGCCTCCTCTCCCAGCACCATATTGTGGGAGAGCAGATGCATAGAATAAGTCTTAATTCCAGTAACTCAGTCCAGTCCGGGTTGCTCCCCACAGAAGATGGCCCAAGTGCTTAGGTCCCTGCACCCACATGGAAGATCTGGAAGAAGCTTCTGGCTTTGGATAGGCCCAGCTCCAGGTGTTGCGGCCATTTGGGGAACAAACCAGTGGATGGAAGATCTTTCTGTCTCTCCCTCTCTATGTCTGTAATGCTACCTCTCAAATAAATAATAAATGAAGTCTTTAATAATAAAAAGAAGTAAAATGGAATCTGGAGTGGAACTGACATTGTTTCTCTCTCTCTCTCTTTTAAAGATTTATTTATTTATTTGAAAGGCAAGAGTTACAGAGAGAGAGAGAGAGAGAGAGAGAGAGAGAGAGAGGTCTTCCATCCACTGGTTCACTCCCCAGATGGCTACAATGGCCAGAGCTGTGCCAATCTGAAGCCAGGAGCCAGGAACTTCTTCTGGGTTTCCCATGTGGCACTGCTTTCCCAGGCCATAGCAGAGAGCTGGATTGGAAGTGGAGCAGCCAGGACTCGAACCAGTGCCCATATACCCATATGGGATGCCGGCACTGCAGGCAGCAGCTTTACCCACTATGCCACAGCACCAGCCCCTGGAATTGGTATTTGAAACCAGGCACTGCAATATGAGATGCAGGGGTCCTGACTGGAGTCTTAATCTCTATGCCAGAAGTCCCGCCTCCTGCCATATTCCCATTTTACAGCTGGGAAAGTGGAGGCTCAGAGTGGCTCAAGATCATAGTTGGCAGAACTGGGATTCTAACCCAGGTTCATGGACTTCAAAGCACTTAACCCAGGGAGTCAAAAGAGGAGAAGAATGGTTAAGAGCATAGATCTGGAGCAGCAAGACCAGAGTGAGCAGCAGTGTCAAGTTTTTTAATAAAAGCTCATTTTTTTGTTAGTGTCACCAGATCCCTCCTTGCCCCCTGGTGGTCAGAACTGAGCCCAGCCCAGTGGCCCCGTCAATCACATGGGAGCCCCGGCTACTTCTGGGGGGCACGGAGGGCTCCTGCCGGCTGTCCCAGAGCATCGGGTCTGAGTCTGAAGCCTCAGATCCTAGTTGCAAGCTGGTTTCCAGGAAGCGGATGGCTCCTTTTCCTCCACAGAGCACTGCCCAGCACCACACTTGGCTCAGGGCTCAGACAGTGACTGGCTGGTCTCCACAGTCCAGGGTGCAGGCTGGCTTCCCAAGCCCCCTTGTCCCCTGCTGCTCCCAAGACTTTCTTTCAGCTAAAGTCGGGGCCAAGGTTGGTTCCAGAACCACTGCCCACAGAGGCTCTGGTTGGTCTGGGCCAGCACTCATCTCTCAGGAAAGTCTTGGGGACTCTTCTTACATCTCTCTCTCTCTCTTTTTCTTTTTATTTTATATATATTTTTTTGACAAGTAGAGTTATAGACAGTGAGAGAGAGAGACAGAGACAAAGGTCTTCCTTCCATTGGTTCGCTTCCCAAATGGACACTATGGCTGGCGCTGCGCCGATCCGAAGCCAGGAGCCAGGTACCTCTTCCTGGTCTCCCATGCGGGTGCAGGAGCCCAAACACTTGGGCCATCCTCCACTGCCTTCCGGGGCCACAGCAGAGAGCTGGAGTGGAAGAGAAGCAACCAAGATCAGAACCCGGCGCCCATATGGGATGCTGGCGCCTCAGGCGGCAGATTAACCAAGTGAGCCACGGCGCCGGCCTCTTACATCTCTAATGAGCTCTGCACACTGCTTTCTTGGCCCTGGTTGCCCACAGTGACCGCTGGAGCCCCTGAGGCTCCCCACTCACCATGTTTCATGTTGTCCTTCCACTCGCCCACATAGTGGTCTCCGTTCACCGCGAACACCTGGTGCCTCAGTCCGTTCTTCTGGGCCTTCCGGTCCCACTCCTTCCACGGGGTCTCTGACTTCTTCGGACACTTGGAGAGTGGCATGTTGGCTGCTTCTGCAGGGCCACAAGGTGCTGGCAAAGGGGTAGGGACATCAGAGGTTCAGTGTACCTCATATAATGCCAGGATCCTGGGAATTCCTGGGGAGGCACCTGTCGGAGCTCAAGTGGGTCGAGTCATGTGTGTTCTGAGTCCCCAGGGCAGGTGAGCAGCCCTTGATGGGGATCCTGCTGCGCTGGACTGGCCCTGGGCTGTCCTCTCCTGGCTTCTCCTGGGGCCCCCTAAGGGGGGGGGGTCTGATGGCACAATCACTTGGGAACCCAGGGAGACCAGTAGGAACCAGGGTTTGTGATGGCATCAAGGAGAAACTGCTCTGAGACACCTATTGAATAACCGGGATGACCACTTAAAATGGTCACTCACTCTAAGGCTATGGGAACCCACAGGAATAAGGGCTGGGCAGTGGCCAGTGCTGGATCCATGCCAGGAGAGCTGGACTGGAGTCAGCTGCCCAGTGCATGGAGCAGAAACAGCACTGGCTCAGTGCCTGGCATTGTAGTTCCCTGGGTCCTGCCTCATCTACCTGGTGATGGCGGCACTCGGGGACTGCCTTTGCAAGAAATTGGGAGCTATTGGGAGAGCCCGCCAATCAAGCTGCTGCCTCTGGGGTGGCAAACTGTCCAGTTTTGCCCAGCACTGAGGGACCCTGGACTTTCGGTGCTAAAATAGACAGTCCCAGGCATACCAGGTGACCACCCCTTTGCTTCTGACCTCTACTTAGCCATTCTACCCAATCACTTGGTTAGTGTTTATTTTTATTTTTAAAAATTTAATTGAAAGAGTTAGAGAGGAAGAGAAAAAGATTTTTCATCTGCTGGATTAATCCCCAAATTGCTGCAACTGCCAGGGTTGGGCCAGGCTGAAGCCAGGAGCCAGGAGCTTCCTCCATGGGTGGCAGTGGCCCAAGTTCTATTCCTCAGGCCATTAGCAGGGAGCTGGATTAGTGGTGGAGCATCCAGGACATGAACCAGTACCCATATGGGATGCTGGCACTACAGGTGGCGGCTTTACCTGCTACTCCATAATGCCGGCCCCAGTTAGGTTTTTCCACTGGCCCAGCTCTGCCTGATGGAGTTACAGAGGGACTAGGTAGTGGTCCAGGGCCTCCTCTGAGTCTTGGAGCCCTCATTTGTGCTTCTCACATCCTTAGGACCTCCGCTGCAGACATCCATGTCCATCTGTCTGTCTCCATTGAGCTTGTGCAAGGTGATACAGTCTTCTTCAAATCTTAATCCTTGCTTCTCCTCAGCGATACTGCCATCTTCCTCCATGGGCCTTGGGGCTCCACACACACACTTCCACCAAACCTGAGCCAGCAGCAAGCACAGGGACTGGCTGATCACAAAGACAGCCTCCCCATATCAGCCCCAGAGGGTTCCAGAACAGGGTGTCCCAGGCATCTACCCACCCAGAGCCAGTTTCCCAGGCCTGCCACCTTAGATGGGCTTCTGCTAGGTTTGCTGCCCTGCTGACACTGTTTTTAACACTTTCTGGAAAAAAAGGACCAGCTTTTATATTTTGTACCAAACCCCACACTTCAGGTGGCTGGCTCTGCACACAGCTTGTCACTGGATTACAGGGAAGTGTGGAGTCCCAGGGAGGGGCTGGGATAGGGAGAGGGAGCATGGAGAGCTGGACAGTGCTGTGGGTCTTGCTGTCGCTCCCCCTCTTCATGGAGGAACGACACTAAACCCTGCCTAGGCTTCCTATCCGAGTCACGGCACCATTATGTCGCTCCCCTTCTTCGCGGAGGAACGACACAGGACCCTGCGCTGTTCTTTTGTCTGCTCGGCCCTCCCCGGGTTTGCTGCTGGTTCTTCCCAGGTTGGCTACCGACCCTTCCACCTCCGTGGAAGGGCGGTTCTCCCTGCCACTTTCCCCACTTCCGCAGGGGAGCGGCACACCGCCGGCCGGCTCTCTCGGGGGCTGCTCAGGTGTTCCTTCAGATAGATGTTCCTGGTGCATGTTGTCTCTCTCCTCCTTTATAGTCCTCTTCCACCAATCCGTGCTCTGCTACCCACACGCTGAGCACGCTGCTCTCCTCCAATCAGGAGCAGGGTCAGCTCCCGCAGTTTGTTAAGTTGGTGAGAGGCAGCTGCGTAGAAGTTTACTCCTCCCAAGCGCTATATCGTGGGAGAGCAGATGCATAGAATAAGTCTTAATTCCAGTAACAGTCTAGTCCGAGTTGCTCCCCACATCTTGCTCCTGGCAGGATACTGGAGTTGCCAATCTACACTTGCAGCAGTCCTTGCACGTCCTCTGACACGGCAGTTGTGGTCACATAGTCTGCTGGAGATGCCCATGATTGGCATCTGTGGCCATTCCGCCTCTGCTCCTCAATGGCAGGCACCACATCATCTCCTTCCTCTCCTGCATACCCAGTGCCTGGCACATAGTAAGCCCTCAGCCAGGCACAGCCAAGCAGGCTCTGACTTGGATGCTTTTCTCTCCTGTTCTTCCCCCTCCTCCTACACTGGGGGTCCATGCTCTATAAAACCTGGCTACAGTGGGGGCCTCCGGTAGTCTGACCAGGCTCTGGGGCCTGTACCACACCTGGTTCTGACAAATTTTGATGATCATACATAGGAACAGGGCAAGTCACTTCAGGGAAAGAAACACCATGAGTAAAAGCTGGAAGCAGGGAAACAGGCTCAGGTCCTAAACTGTATGTGGTTGTGTAACAAAACACCAATAGAGCCAGTGTAAGTCTTAGGTGAATGCTGTGGCCCCATAGTAGGCTGGGATGGGAGGTCTCTGTTAAAAAGAGGAATTGGGGCAGGGGCTGTGGTACAGCACTCAGGTGCTGGTTAGAGTCCCAACTACTCTGCTTCCAACTCAGCTCTCTGCTAATGGGCCTGGGAAGCAGTGCACGATGGCTCAAGTTCTTGAGTCCCTGCCACCTACGTGGGAGACCCAGATTGACTTCCTGGCCCAGCCCTGGCTGTTGCAGCCATTTGGTGAGTGAAGCAGTGGATGGTTTCTCTGTCACTCTGACTTTCAAATGAACAAATACATCTAAAAAAAAAGAGAGATTAGGGGCTGGTGTTATGGCACAGTGGGTTAAAGCCCTGGCCTGAAGCACAGGCTTCCCATATGGGCGCCGGTTCTCATCCTGGCTGCTCCACTTCCGATCCAGCACTCTGCTGTGGCCTGGGAAAGCAGTAGGGGATGGCCCAAGTCCTTGGGCCCCTGCACCCACATGGGAGACCCGGAAGAAGCTCCTGGCTCCTGGCTTTGGATCAGCGCAGCTCCGGCCGTTGCAGCCATCTGGGGACTAAACCAGGGGATGGAAGAGCTCTCTGTCTCTACCTCTCTCTGTAACTCTGTCTTTCAAATAAATAAAATAAATCTTTAAGAAAAGAGAGAGAGAGATTAGCAAAAGTTACAGAGGTATTAATGCCATATTAGTCCCAGGCTGATACTTTCTCCTTGGCTTACTCGGAGCTCTGAGACAACCCAGACATCACTTTCTTACATGTCACTGCGTGTTACTTAACGCTGCACCCGAAATAAAAAAAACATACACACACAGCCAGCAGTCCCACACATCATCGGCTCTACCGGAGTGGAGGCTGCTGTCTTCAGCCAGAGCTGTTGACAGGAAAAGAACACCTTGCAAAGCTGGGCGGGACCCTTCCCGGTTGTGTGGATGCGAAATAACAGTCAGGACTACCACGAAGGGTGGACGCGGTAGGGCTAGGAGCTTTGGGGCCCGTCCCGAGCCCACCTGTGCTCGCTCACCTGTGGGCCGCGGCCTTCCAGCACCCCCCAGCCGACAGCGCGCGCGCCGCGGGCCCGGCCCCGCCGGGGTCGCCGTGGTAACGCGCCAGGCCGCCAAGCCGTCGGCAGTGCCCGCCCCTTCCTGCCGAGCCCCGGCAGCCGCCACGTTTGAAAGGCAAACCGGCTCGGCGCCTGCTTCTAGTCCTGAGAGCGTTTGAGGGACGCCCTGTGCAGCCCCAGGCCTGCACGCCGCCGGCACATGGCGCTGGCACGAGTGGGCGGCAGGGCCTCCTCGGCCCGCAGCCTCCCAGTGGCCTCCGATCCGCCCGCGTCCTCGGCTCCTCACCCCGCTCTGCCTGGCTTCCTTGCTGTTCCAGGAAGCGGGGCCAGTGCCAGGACGCCTCTTCCTCCAGGGAGCAGCCCGGACCACCGTCCTGCCTTCCGGATGTCCGCTTCTCCGTGCGGAGTTCCTGGAACGGCCTGATGGACAATCGGAATTTCCATACCTGCTTGCCAACCCTCACTCCTGTTTCATGTTCTCTTTCCGCCCTTGGCGCCAAAATCCACGCGCACGCACACACGCGCGCGCACAAGCGTTATTTATGGCCTGTTTCTTTGAAGACAAAGATTTTGTTCCTTCCAATTTTTCATTGTCGATAAAATGTTCAAACACACAGTAAAACGTGGCTACAACGAACACCTGTCACCACCCCTGCCTTATATTCCACGACTAGTGGGCTAGTGCCACGTCCGGAGCAGAACTATGCGGCTTTGCACTGCTGTCTCCGGAGGATCTGGGAGATGCCCGGCACGTGCTCCACGCGTGTTTCTCACAGCGATGGCGCGCTCAGGTGCTCAGGGGGCCAGAGCACGCAGGCTCTCCAGCCTCCGTGACGGAGGCCGTTTCCCGCCCTGGCGCCCAGGCGATGGGCTGGGCGCTCCAGGAGGGGCGGCTCGGGCTGCGCTCTCCTGGGGAGGTGGTCCCCCTGCTGCCCAGAAGCAGCTCTGACTGGCCCCAAACTGCAGCACCCGCCACGGCCGGGGCGCACGGCGGGCGCTGTCAAACACGAGGGTGCTTAGGGAAGCCGATCTTCCGCCCCCACTCTCCACAGAGGCACGCTCGCCCTTCCCCCGCTCTGAGGTTTGTCTGCAGCCGCCGGCGTTTCTCAGGCCTCTAGTCAGTGACTTCCGGCTGCTCACAGCCAATGGGAGACGCGGCAGGGGATTGAGTGGCAGCCAGGAGGGCGGGAGAAGCGCGGCGGTGGCTTTCCGTCTCTCCCCGGAGACCGGCCGTAGTTTACAACTCTGGCTGCACCGGTCTGTCCCCGGGCCTCTGTCATCATCCCCTCTCTGCCCCTCCAGCCCTAAGTGTGCTCATATGGGGCTGTCGTCTCTTCCACTAGTGCTATTTCGGAGTGTCCAACACCTTTGTAACTACTTCCTTTATATTAAATGCACCTGGGGTGGATTGACAGGGACATGGTCAGGTGATGGACAACACGAGAAATCTGTCCCTGGTGAGGTTGCTGCCAGTTGGTGCAGGTGACCCGAGGCTGGGTGGAGCTGAGGCTGGTGCCAACTTCGACTCTTTGGAGCCCCCTCTTAGCAGTTCCGGGTGCTCAGCACCCTACCCCCACCCCCATCACTTCTAAATGCTTTGCCTTTTCCAGCTCTAATTCTATTTTTTAAAAAAGATGTATTTTGTTTTATTTGAAAGGCAGAGTTAGAGAGAGATCTTCCATCCACTGAATCACTCCCCAGATGCCCTCAACGTCCCAGGGCTGGGCCAGGCTGAAACTAGGAGCCAGGTGCTTCCTCCCGGTCTTCCACATGGGTGCAGGGGCCCAAGGACTGGGGTCATCCTTCACTGTTTTCCCAAGCACATTAGCGGGGAGCTGGATTGGAAGTGGCGCCCATATGGGATGCTGGCACTGCAGGCCGTGGCTCAACCTGCTATGCCACAACAGCTCCAGTTGCTTAGGGGCTGTCCCTGACCTCTGGGAGCTGCCATACCCATTTGGGCAGAGAACTGGAAGTGCCTGGGAATGGTCTCCTCTCCTGGGTGGTCCCTAGACAGTGACAGATGAAGGGTGTTGAGGGCCATGCTTCAAGAAGGCACTCCCTGGGAGAAGTTTTTCCTAATTTTCTTTTGGTGATTTTTTTTGTTTATTTGTGCAATATACATAATTGTTACCATTTTAATCATTTTAAGTGTGGAGTTCAATCACATTAAGTCCAATGACGCTGCTGTACAGCCGTCACCTTTTCATCATCCCAGACTGAAACTCGGTACCCGTAAAGCACCAGTCCTCCTTTCCCCAGCCTCTGACTACTTGCATTTGTCTAGTCTAGTTAACTCACAGAAATGCACTAATATTTCTGGAAGTGTAATTTTTATTCTAGTGTTAGTTGGTGTTTCTGTATACTTTTGCTTGGTTTCTTCCCAGGTCTAGTCACCAGTTTCTTCTGGGAGCACTTACTAAACAAATTGTATCAATATTGTCTACAGCCTTTTTTACAAAAGAAAAAACTTGTAACCACAAAGAAAAACTTTCCCAACCCAGAGAATAACAGAGTATTTTCCAACATTGAGAAACATTCAAGAATACCATCTTGGGGCAGGCATTTGGCAAACTGGTTAAGATGATGGGTAGCCAGCGCCGCGGCTCACTAGGCTAATCCTCCACCTTGCAGCGCCAGCACACCGGGTTCTAGTCCCAGTCGGGGCGCCGGATTCTGTCCCGGTTGCCCCTCTTCCAGGTCAGCTCTCTGCTGTGGCCAGGGAAGTGCAGTGGAGGATGGCCCAAGTGCTTGGGCCCTGCACCCCATGGGAGACCAGGATAAGTACCTGGCTCCTGCCATCAGATCAGTGTGGTGCGCCGGCTGCAGTGCACCAGCCGCGGCGGCTATTGGAGGGTGAACCAACGGCAAAAGGAAGACCTTTCTCTCTGTCTCTCTCTCTCTCTCACTGTCCACTCTGCCTGTCAAAAAAAACTTAAAAAAAAAAAAACTTTAAAAAAAAAAAAATGATGGGTAAGGGATTGGCGTTATGGTCCAGTGGGTTAAGCCACCATTTGGGATGCCCACATTACATACCAGCGTGCCTGGTTTGATACCCAGCTGCTCCCTGATTCCAATCCAGCTTCCTGCTAATGTACCTGGGAGGCAACAGGTGATGGCCCAAGAACTTGGGTCCTTACCACCTACATGAGCCAAAACCAGGATGGAGTTTCTGGCTCCTGACTTTGGCCTGGTCTAGCCCTAGCTGTTGCAGGCATTTGGGGAGTGAGCCAGCAGATGGAAAAATCTCTCTTTGTCTCTCCCTCTCCCTCTCTGTTACTCCACCCTTCTCTGTAACCAGCCCTTCCAGCTGCAATGCAGATAAGCCTTTACCTACCCCACATTCTTGTCTGTGGCAAGCTACAAATCCATGAGCTTATTCTCCCTGCGAAGTCAGAGTCTGGTGGCATTTTCCAAACATCTGAGTAAGTGGTTTGAGCTGGCCACTCCCCAGTATATTACATCTGGGGGCTCCTGCCCCAAATCCCCTTCTGAAAAACACCAGCCAGATCTGAATGGCTGGGATTTGGCTGGGTTCCCCTCAAGGTCCTTGTTTACAGCTTTGGGTGAGAGGAGTTTCTTTGTGTGATCTGGGGTGAGAGATAGGGACTCCCCCCAACGCCCACACACAAATGCTTCCCCCAGAGGCTCAGTCAACACTTTCCAGGGCCCCTAACTTTGGCTTGAAAAGGGGCTGCTCAACCCTGCAAGGGAATCTGAGATTTCTCCACCCACCTCCAGGGGGCGCCGTTCACACGGCAGCCTCTGCCTGAAAGCACAGGTGGAAATACATCAGCAGTGAGGCTTCCCGGAGCTGAGCAGCCTGGGTCATTCCTGCATTCCAGGAAATAGCAGGATCCAGGACCCACCTGTCAGGACCAGCAGAAGTCTCTGACGCACATAATAGACAAAAGATGGAGACAACCCAAGTATCTGTCAATAGGTGCACAGATCAACAAAACGTGGTCTGTCCACACAATAGGATATTATTTAGCAATAAAAACGAATGACGTTCTGTTACTGCAACATGGATGAACCTTGAAAATATGGTGCTGAGAGGAAGAAGCCACCCAGAATAGGCTACATATTATGTGACTCCATTGATATGACATATCTAGAATGGGCAAATCCATAGAGACAGAAAGAGATGAGTGGGTGCCAGGGGCTGGGGGAAGGCAGGGATTTCTTTTTATATGATGGGTTTATAAGATTGATGGATGGAGCCGGCGCCGCGGCTCACTAGGCTAATCCTCTGCCTAGCGGCGCCGGCACACCGGGTTCTAGTCCCGGTCGGGGCGCCGGATTCTGTCCCGGTTGCCCCTCTTCCAGGCCAGCTCTCTGCTGTGGCCAGGGAGTGCAGTGGAGGATGGCCCAGGTGCTTGGGCCCTGCACCCCATGGGAGACCAGGAAAAGCACCTGGCTCCTGGCTCCTGCCATCGGATCAGCGTGGTGCGCCGGCAGCAGCGCGCCGGCTGCAGCGGCCATTGGAGGGTGAACCAACGGCAAAGGAAGACCTTTCTCTCTGTCTGTCTCTCTCACTGTCCACTCTGCCTGTCAAAAAAAAAAAAAAAAAGATTGATGGATGGATTGATTTGAAAGGCAGAGTGAAAAAGTGAAATAGAGAGGAAGGGAGGGAGGGAGGGAGGGAGGGCAGGCAGGCCTGGGCTGATCTGATCTGAAGCCAGGAGCCAGGAGCTTCCTCCGGGTCTCCCACATACGGTGCAGGGGCCTAAGGACTTGGACCATCTTCTACTGCTTTCCCAGGCCATAGCAAAGAGCTGGATTGGAAGTGGAGTAGCCGGGACTTGAACTGGTGCCCATATGGGGCAACAGCCAGGACTGGGCCAAGCCAAAACCAGGAGCCTGGAACTCCACCAGGGTCTCCCAAGTGGATGACAGGAACCAAAGTACTTGGGCCATCATCTACTGCCTCCCAGGTGCATTAGCAGGAAGCTGGATGGGTACCCACACTTGAGCCAACATCCCATATTGGGGCCCCAAGAGCGCCTTAAACTGCTGTGCCATAATACCCAGAAATTCTTTTTGAGGTGATGAAAATGTTTCAAAAATTGACTGTGATGACAGCCACTTGGCTCTGTAGGTAGACTAAAAAACATTAAATTATACACTTTAAATGAGTGAATTTATGTATGTGAATTGTATCTCAATAAAGCGCTTTATTTAAACTCTTATGCAGCATGGGCGCCCTCTAGGGGTGCTCAGATGTCCAGAGTCATGGGTCACTTCTGAAACTTGTGCTAAAAATCAAAGAAACACCAGAGGGGTAACACGAGGATGGGGCAGGCTGAATCCCTACTCTCTACTCCCATTCTATCCCCCCAAAATAAAGTCTTTTATACTTTAACTAGCTGTCTCTTTGACTTCTTGGAACCCTAAAATCCTAGAACCTAACACTTTGTTCCTAAAATTTAGGCACATGTGGCTACCAGCTACCACCCAGGCCAGCACAGTTACAGAACATTGCTGTCACCATAGAAAACTCCACTGGATAGACCTCCTTTAGGGGATGGATGAGATTTTTTAAAAAAGATATTTTTATTGGGGCTGGTGCTGTGGTGTAGCAGGTGAAACCGTCGCCTCCAGCGCCTGCATCCCATATGGGCACCTGTTCAAGTCCCAGCTGATCCACTTCTGATCCAGCTCTCTGCTATGGCCTGGGAAAAGCAGTAGAAGATGGTCCAAGTCCTTGGGCCACCGCACCCATGTGGGAGACCCGGAAGAAGTTCCTGGCTCCTGGCTTCAGATCAGTGCAGCTCCGGCTGTTGTAGCCGGTTGGGGAGTGACCAGTGGATGGAAGACCTCTCTCTCTCTCTCTCTCTCTCTCTCTCTCTCCTCTCTGTGCCTTTCCTTCTCTCTGTGTGTAACTCTTTCAAATAAGTAACTAAATCTTTAAAAATATATTTATGTTATTTATTTGAAAGTTACACAGAGGCAGAGAGAGAGAGAGAGAAAGTCTTGCATCTGCTGGTTCACTTCCCAAATAGCTGCAACAGCCAGAGCTGGTCTGATCCGATCCAAAGCCA